AACCCCCCCCTCTTCGCCGGCTCTTCTTGCCTGTTCAGCCAAGAGCCGCCCGGGATAAAAGCCGCGGTACCTTACGTCGGGTTCCTCGCTCGCGGGCCCGGCACCCACCCACCCACCTCCTGGCCAATCAGGGACCTCCTTTTCGTTAGTTGCCTTCAAGTTGCCGCTCGCAAAATCGCCACAACGCGCGCGCGATTCCGCGCGCGCGCTCTCTCGTGTCGCGGAGCTGCGCGGTCCAATCTCCGCTTTGCGATGAGAACGGGCACCCGCGCCGCTCGACTCGCCGCGGCGAGAAGCGGCGCTTGCCCAGAGACGACGATAGCGGCGTGAAGACACGTCGCCGAGGCGCCGCGCGACCGTCAGCCGCGGCACTGCGGGTCATGACCGCGCGCGCGCGCGCGCGTTACAAGTACCCATCAGTACACTGTAGATTTTCCAAATCAGGCCTCCGGACCCACCCACCCACCTCGTCGTGAGGTTCGAATCTTTTGTCCGTGGGCGGCTCGTGGTTCAGCTCGGATCGGTGTCGCTCGCGTCGCCCAGACCTGCCGCCGGCGGTGTAATCCTCGGTCCGCGCGGCCTCCGACGCGACTCCCCGACCCGCGGCGCGGCCAGCGACGATGGACAACATCCTCCTGCTCACGGACTCCTACAAGGTCAGCCACTGGAAGCAGTACCCGGCGAAGACGACGACGGTCTATAGCTACTTCGAGTCCCGCGGCGGCAAGTACGACGAGGTCGTCTTCTTCGGCCTCCAGTACTACGTGAAGAAGTACCTCGTCGGCGAGCAGGTCACGAAGGCGAAGATCGACGAGGCGGAGCGGTTCTACGGCGAGCACTTCCCGCCGGGCTTCGAGTTTAACCGCGCGGGCTGGGAGCACATCCTCGAGAAGCACGGCGGCCGGCTGCCGCTGCGCATCAAGGCCGCGCCCGAGGGCACGGTCGTCGGCGCGAAGAACGTGCTCATGACCGTCGAGAACACGGACCCGGCGTGCTTCTGGCTCACGAACTTTGTGGAGACGCTCCTGGTCCAGGTCTGGTACCCGATGACCGTGGCGACGCACTCGCGGGAGCAGAAGAAGGTCGTGGCCAAGTACTTGGATGTGACGGGCGACGTCGCCGGCCTGGGCTTCAAGCTCCACGACTTCGGGTTCCGCGGCGTGTCGTCCGTCGAGACCGCCGGCGTCGGGTCCTGCGCGCACCTCGTCAACTTCCTGGGCACGGACACGGTCGCGGGTCTCGTCGTGGCCAAGGACTACTACGGCGCCGAGTCCGCGGCGGGGTTCAGCATCCCCGCGTCGGAGCACTCGACGATCACGTCGTGGGGCGAGAGCCGGGAAGTCGACGCGATGCGGAACATGCTCGAGGTCTACCCGGCGGGCCTCGTGGCCTGCGTCTCCGACTCCTACGACATCTTCAAGGCCTGCGGCGACCTGTGGGGCACGCAGCTCAAGGACGCGGTGCTCGCGCGCGACGGGTGCCTCGTCGTCCGGCCCGACTCGGGCGACCCGCCGTCGACGGCGATGCGCGTGCTGACCATCCTCGGCGACAAGTTCGGCAAGGAGAAGAACGACAAGGGCTACTGGGTCCTCGACAGCCACGTGCGCGTCATCTGGGGCGACGGCATCGACTACGAGATGATCTGCGCCGTGCTGTCGACGCTCGCGGACGCGGGCTGGTCCGCGGACAACATCGGCTTCGGCTCCGGCGGCGGCCTGCTCCAGAAGCTGAACCGCGACACGCAGAAGTGCGCCTTCAAGTGCTCGTCCATCGTCGTCGACGGCGCGGCGCGCGACGTCTTCAAGGACCCCGTCACGGACAAGGGCAAGGCGTCGAAGAAGGGGCGCCTCGCGCTCGTGGACGTCGACGGGACGCTGACGACGAAGACGCAGTGCGCGCCGGGGCCCGTCGAGGGCGACGTGCTCGCGACCGTCTTCGAGGACGGCGCGCTCCTCGTCGACGACACGCTCGAGACCGTCCGCGAGCGCGCGGCG